TTTAGAGGGGCATGAATAAACAGAAGAGGAAGAGAAGGTCAGTATCTTGGAAACCAAAATTAGAGGGCATTTCAACAAAGAGATTTTAAAAAGAGGAATGGGGAAGTGGCCAGCAGTGGTAAGAATGGAGAATAAGTCTTTAGTCACTAATGAAGCGTAAGGGGAAGTAAGTTAATGTTCTTTCCCTGTAGCTGTCAATGCCTGTGGGTAAAGGACTTAATTTGAACAGAGCCGTGAACTTCCTAATTCTAAAGGTTGTGAGAGGCAGGGTCTGGAGCAAGGATTCTGTCTACTCTCTTTTCCTTCCAGTCAGTGCCACAGCATGGAGATGGCATTAGTTCCTGCTCAGCATCAGCCACTGTACCTAGCACTGACATAATCCTAAAGAATTGTTCAGTTACCATTTCTGCTTTACAAGTATTGTTGCTCTGAGAGGCTAAGTCACTTACCTGTGGTTCCGAAGTCACTAAGTGACATAGTTGGAAACAAAACTCAGATCATCCTGACTCTAAAAGTCTGTTCCATTTCCATCACGCACCATGACACCTAGTCTTTAACGGGTGTCTCCAACTTCCTGGTGCAACCTCTGTCCAGTTTCAGGAGTTAAATATGCTTCTAACCTGTCTTTACCACAACGGAATCTAAGAAAAGGTCTGGTTTGAACAAGTGTAGAATTTTGGGAAGTGTTTGACTTGCAGTCCAGACGCCTGGTTGAATGGAAGTGTATGTCATTTCATATCTTTGTGACTTGGGGCAAATATTTTACCGTGAAAATTATTTAGTTTGGGGATTTCAGACTCCTAAGCTGGAAAGCTTATGTGAAAGTGGCTTTAAACTGTCCAGCTCAATGCAAGTATTAGATGTGTTCTTAGTGTGAATTTAAGTCAGCGTGTTTTTTTTTAATATTTATTTATTTGAAATACAGAGTTACAGAAAGAGATAGAGATAGAGACAGAGTCAGAGATCTTCCATCTGCTGGTTCACTCCCCCAAATGGCCGCAACAGTCGGAGGTGGGCTCATCCGAAGCCAGGAACCAAAAGCTTCTTCCAGGTCTTCCACATGGCTGCAGGGGCCCAAACACCTGGGCCATCTTCTGCTGCTTTTCGCAGGCCATTATTAGGGAGCTGGATTAGAAATAGAGCAGCCGGGACTTAAACGGGTGCCCAAATGGGATGCTGCTTCACAGCGCCAGCCTCATGTGTTGTCTTCGGTAGAGTTCTTTACATTTGGGGAGCTATAATAATAATTATTCTACTTAAATCTATTAAGCATCAATTTTGTGCAAGGATTTCCAGAGAATTCTAAGTGTGTAAGACGTGGAGAAACTTAAAGTAATTCAGAAGAAAATATTTTGTTTCTTGGAAAAAGAATTTTCAACAGTAAGTACCAAAAAAGATTTATTTTGTCAGTAGGATAGGAAGACCATTCTCTGTGTATCTAAAAGAAGAACATAAACAATTTTTAAAAATGGATGTTCTTCCCTGTTAGAGACAGGTAGAATGTCTGATATGAACCAAAGTGTCAAAAATCTTTGATACACAGCTTTGGCACTGAAAAATTCATCTCTTCTTCCTTATATAGCCTTGTGTTTAGTGTAGCTAGCAAAGGGGAGGTTTGTTTTCAGCCTCAGATTCTTCATCTGAGTCACAGCCTAACTTTGGTCAATTGGCTTGTTTTCATTTCTTAGATAGGGAGGAAAATATTTTTATGCTAAAACGGGAATAATGTTTTCACAAATAAGGAAAGGCTATAAAGTGTCATGAATTTTGGCAATGAAATTTACTATGAAAGGGTGTTTGTGCGCCTTCTACACCCTTCTGGTACTTTCAGTCACTAACATCACTCCTGAGAGACCTGAAGAGATGTGCTGCTACTTTAAAAAACAAAAACAAAGTAGCAAGAATCACTAGCCTGAGTATGAAAGTGTAAACTGAAAAATGTTAAATTCGATGAAGCCATTGGGCACTTTTATGCCTGCCCTTATGGTATGCTCCTGGGTGTTGGGAATGGTTTACATTGTCCACCTTGGTGAATGGCAGAAAGCTCAAAATGACCCAGATTAGAGTCTTTGCAAGATCCTGCACCTTCTGCCCATCCTGGAATTGTGGCTGTTCGGGGACTGAGTGCCTCTGGTCAGATATGAGCCTTGCAGATAGGTGTTAGTCAACAGGAAGTTCACTAGAGCCATCCGAGAGGAATAGATTAATAGAAATTGCTTTGGTTGTTTCCTAATGAGATTTTAAAAAGGAATATGCACTTTGGAGTGTTTTGTTGAATATGCCCTAAGTTCCCTACATGTTCATTGCAATACAGTGTCAAGAGCAATAAAAATAAGTAGACTTTTTTCCTACCTGATGATTTAAATTGCTCTATGTTGTACCTTCCTACAGCTGAAGGTTGTTTGTGTCCCAGTGGTGGGTGGTAAATGAACAGGATCGGACAATCTCAGAGTGGAACTGGAGGTAAAACTAGCCAGAGCCCTTAAATCCTGGATCAGAACCAGGCAATGCTAGGCAAGAAGGCTCAATTCCCAGCAGCTTCACGATCCAAAACATCTGTTTCTGCATTTGGCACAATTCCACTTTTTTATTTGTAAAATTGTTCCCATCTTTGAAAACACTTTAAAAAATAAAGAAGTCCCCATTCTGTCTCCTCTTTCCACTCCCCAGCACATGCATTTGTAATTACCTGGTTTAGTCTGTGTGTTTAATCAGTTTAAATTGAGAATGCTGCATACATCTGATTTCAATCTGAAGGAGCCCTTGCGTACTGGGCAGTTACCACCCTCGTGTCTGCCAAAATGCGTCTCTGCCAAAAGCGGATAGGACTCACACTAGGGTATTTCCTAAAGAAGCCACTTGACTCAGATTAGATGTTTAATTTCCTTAAAATATTGTTTTGGATTTGGGTCTCTGTTCTCTAATTGGGATTTTCTGATGTAATTTAGGAATATTGCTTATTTGCTGAGTTTGTTCCAGGACCCAGCTGGCAGTATTCTAAAAGCCTAAACCTCAGGGAAGCAAGCTTCGCTCTGAGTGTCATACCTCACTGCTTTGAAGGGTGCGCCAGCCACACGGTTATTCACGTCTCTGTGAAACAGAGTTACATGCAGTGCAAGTGAATGAATTTTGAGAGAGAAGGGCTTCTCGTTACGGTAACAAAGCCCCTGAGCAAAATAACATCTTTTGAGATATTCTCTTAAGGTAATTGAAGTCGACAAAATTACTTTGCTCTAGGACTGATTACATATTGTAATTTCATTCTTATAATATTGATCTATCATATTTCTGCATTTCCTCAAATTCCCCTAAAACACCTCCCATGGACCATATTTGGAGGTCGTAAGTTGTGTTTTTTTTTCTTGTTGGGCTATAATTTCTGAATGGTAAAGAAATGAGAACATAGAGCTGGGTATATTCAAAGTTTTACACCACAAGTGTACAGACTTCTGGTACTTGAAAGTTCTGTTGAGCCTCTTTGCTTGTGAGCAAACTTTGGATGACTGATAAACATTCCTTTGCAGATTTTACACAATCGTAAGGCTTTATGTATCAGAACAGGAGGCTGACATTCCCATGAGTATTTCCTCAATGGTGAGGCCACTTTGATTTGGATAACCAGCATGCTTGCTGCAAGCAAAGCAAATGTAGAGAATGCAGTGGGGGACTTGCACTATTTATATCAGGCTTTAAATATATATATATATAAATTAAACATATATATTTAATTCTGACATAACCACACACTTACAGCTAGTTGGGATTACCAGATTGTAGTCAAAAGTTTGTTGCACAAGAAAATAGTAAAAAAAAAAAAAAAATGAAGATAAAGAATGCAAAGCTGAATGGCGTGAAGCTAGGGTGACTTGATACAGGATTTCAGATTTCACAGGGATTCCGTCTTTAAGAAACCAGGAACAGCAGAATGTGTAAAGGAGCATTTCGAGGGTCCCTCACAATGTGCCTCCTTCCCTCACGGGGACCAATCCCACAAGCAGCACGCTCTTCTGTCTCTAGGATGTCTGTGCTGGGATTCACGAGATGCTTACCTGGAAGTTTAAATTGCAGAGTCAACCTCAGTTCCACTTTTCTCACATCTTGCAAAACACCATCTGAAACTGGGCTTGCTGGGGTCTGAGTTTTATTCTGCTCACAGATGAGCCCAGTTGCCCCTCTTTGGTGACTTCCCAGAGTTACAGAGGAGTTCCATTGCCGCATCAGCTGGAAGCACTACAGGCACATAGAATTACTCTGAGTTTTAGAGCGTTTCTCATTTTTCAAAGCCAAACCAGGCACAGTCTGATTCATTCACCTTATAAATAATTTCTGAGCACCTACTATGTGTCAGACACTGTTCTGGATTGTACAACTTAATAAACTGTAGATCCTGCTATCCAAGAAGCTAAGAGAGAGCATTGTTCTAGAGACTGTTCTAGCCTTTGATTGTAAGATACATTGAGCAGCTGCAGTGAGAACTAAACGCATGAGAGGTTCGCATGCCTTGCCTCACTGTGGCCTTGGATGGAGCATGGAATAAAATCCTTTATATACTGCATTATATTTCTTCCAAACCAATTAGGGATCTGGTAGTTTTGTTGTGCTGTACTTCTTGAGTCAAATAATTGTGTCTTACCAATATGCTATTGATATTAGAAGGGGAAACATTTGGATATAGCAGTTCTTAATTAGTATGCATTAACAAAGAATTTAGATATGAAGATAATGAAATCTGAAAAATGGCAGATTCTGCAGTAAAAGCTGAGAGTCTTCAACCACTCTCTGAATGCCTCAGTAGTTGTTGGCAAAAATGTTTGGATAATAATTGCACCAAAATTGGAGTGATCTGTATATTGAGTGTAAGAATTCAAACACATACCCCTCGCTTTTTCAGTCAGACTGTAGCATTCTTGAAAATAAAGGTGACTGTGCAGCCTAGCATGTTTATCAGATTTTTGTCTTGGCTGTGTATTAATTTCGACTTTCACTTCTATCTTCTGTAGAGTTGCTGGAATTGTGGCCGTAAAGCAAGTGAAACCTGCAGCGGCTGTAACACAGCCCGATACTGTGGCTCATTTTGCCAGCACAAAGACTGGGAGAAGCACCACCACATCTGTGGACAGACCCTGCAGGCCCAACAGCAGGGAGACACGCCTGCTGTCAGCTCCTCCGTCACGCCCAGCAGCGGGGCCGGGAGCCCGATGGACACACCACCAGCAGCCACCCCGCGGTCAACCACCCCGGGAACCCCTTCCACCATAGAGACAACCCCTCGCTAGATGTGAACTCAGAACTGTCAGAGGAAAAACAACACAACCAACATGAAACCAATTCCTCATCCTCAGATGCTCAAAGTTGTTGTTTTGTTTGTTTGTTTATAGATGAACTATCCTATTTCAGTACTTCAGCAAGAGAGAACCTAACTGTATCTTAAGGTGGTAGGAGAACACAGAGGGCCAGTAACGGGTCGTAATGACTTATTGTGGATAACAAAGATATCTTTTCTTTAGAGAACTGAAAAGAGCAGAGAATATAACACGAAATGCGAGATTTGACCTCCTCCCTGTTATTTTCAAGTAGCTGGGATTTTAAACTAGATGACCTCATTAACCGATGCTTTACCAAACAGCAGACCAAGAGATTGCTAATTGCTGTTGAAAGCAAAAATGCTAATATTAAAAGTCACAATGTTCTTTATATACAATAATGGAAAAAAAAAAAAAAGAGGAAAACCCTCAAGGGCATGAGCATTGGATACAGCAGTAGACATTTTAACAAGAAGATGAATGGCGTCCGTGGGTTGCTAACTGAACTTTGAAGACCCGCTACAAAACGCGCAGATGTGCAGCAGATTGGAAGGAGACACAGATGTTCGTTTTTTTTCCCCCATTTCTGAAAAGAAATAATAATATCCAGGTCAACAGAATGAAAAATGAAAGATGATTTGCAGTGGGATGTATGAATACAGCAGCAAGAAAAAAAATGCCATAATACAAAAGGCTCCTTTTTATACACATCCATACACACACACACACACACACGCACACGCGCACACACACAGAAGTAAGAGACTCAGCCTGCAGTTAATTAGCATTCTGGCAGCTTTGACATCAACCAGCTGCCCTAAATAACCCTTCAACGTTTCTTCACTTTTGCAAGGTTCCACAGAGTAAGACATTGGGTCTATTCCAGCTCATTCATTTTATATTGAAAAATAATTTTTAAAAAATGGTGGCTCCAGCTCCAGCCCCTTTCCAAAATTTTTCAACCCCACCCTGTTTGGATTTTTAATTAAAAAAACTAGTAGTTCTCTTGGTGTTAAAACACTTCTGTCCTGTGAGGTTTCCCAATGGTGTTTTTCTTGTAAATGTGTTGGACAAATGTGAAGATGCATTGTAGTTTAACCATATGCCCACATTTAGTCTCTTTATTCCTAGTTGGTGAGAAACCTGTATCTTTCTATGCTGCTTTTATATCTGTATGTATTAGTGATATTTCTCTAGTAGTTAAAAAAAAAGAAAAAGAAAAAAAAAGACTCTTTTTGGTTGTCCTCAAGAAAAGAAAAGGAAAAAAAAGCTATCTTTCGGAGCTGCTATTTCACTCTCTTATAGGATTTTTTTTTCCTGAAAACCAGCATGCTTCACGGAATGCTAACATATTGGTGTTTTTGTAAGAGGGATGTACATAAATGTATTTTGCACTGTCACAATGACTCCCTAGGCATGCTTTTTTTTTTTTTTTTGAGCAAACTCTTTTTAAATATGCTAGAGCCATTTCACCAATTTTAGCTGTAGCATAGAGTAGTAGTGGATTTTTTCTTTTTTTGGAAAAATCATTATTAGGGACTTTTTTAAAAAAATAAAATAACAAGATATCCTACTTTTTAAAAAAAAGGACAGTGCATGCATATTGCTGTAAGGTCGTTTAAGTATTTCTAATTTTACAAAAAATAAAAAATCATTAGAGCTCCAAATGCTGAGGTGTAGACTGACAGCTTTAACACTGCTGAATGCCAGGTTATACAGTATTCTTACAAAAAGGGAAGTCAGCCAAAGACTGATCTGATGGACCAAAATCGGAATTTTGAAAAGCACCAGTACTACTTTCCAAATGATCAGCAGGTTAAACATGTTCAGCAAGGTATAGTGTGAATCCATTAACCCTTCGTTGTCCAGGGTCCAGACCAGAACTACTTGTTAGTTTTGAAACCAGTAGCCCAGGATGTGGTTGTGTGCTTTAGGAAAGTCAGCAGTGCTGCAGGCTGTGTAGACAACCAAAGTTTATAAGGCTGGGAAGACACTTCTCCACATACATATACACCAGGCATTTCTTTAAAAACCGGAAATGGTCCATTAGCTCGTGGGGGGTGGGGTGGGGGAGGGTGTTAATGTAGCCCTTGGATACAGTTTTAAGTGGCTTTTAAGTACCTGCATAGAGGCAATCCTCAATTGATTTGCTTTCCGTCTCTTAAATCTAAAATGTTTTAAAGCATTTCTCCCCATATTTGCATATACAAGTTGGTTTTAATTTTATTTGGATGGTGTTAATTTTTTAATGGCTTTTTAGTTTAGAAAGTTCTGATGAGCAAATAAATACATCTATCTGCATGTTGGAAGTCCATCTGCCAGCACACCTGCTTAACGTGAAATGAAAGCACATAACCAGGCTCTGAATGGGTTATATTTTATCATGGTGCTCCCAGAATCCTTTGACCTCACTCTGCTTTCTAGTCTGCTTGTGACACTGGACAGTCCTTTCTTACAGAGCTATTATATGTTCTAGGCTACGAAGGGTTAAATAATCCCAAAAATGAGGTATGTCATACCCACACGTCTTTATCTCTAGAAGCTGTGATGTATGTGAAACAGCACTGTTATTCTTAACACTAGTGTGTAAAATAAGGATTAGTACAGTACGTCTCATTACTTTTTAATTCAGGGCACCCTGAGTGAAAACAAATACAAAAAAATCCCTAACTCTGAGCTCTATCTCTGATTCCTCTTCCTCCTTACCCTCTTCCTCCTCCTCTTCCTCTCCTCCTGTTTTGCTACATTCTCCTCAGTGGCAAAAAGTTTCACTCTACCTCTGACAGCATGTATATTGCACCAGTAGCTAACAAAAACTGGTCTAGTCAAACCAAATGGGCACAGAAGAACCAGGATACCAAAAGTTAAGCTCATACAGCTGCAAACCATATCACTTCTTGGTAACAATGCAGACCTCATAAACCTAAAGAAGAGAAAGAAAAGAAAACTTTTGTTACTTTCCTTTTTTGCTTGTCACTTATATACAGGCTATGTGAGAGTATAATTTGTAGGTATAACACATTTAAAACAAAGTTATCTTCATTGGATAGAATTGAATGGTGGTCGCTGATAGGAATAGGGCGTCCTCTCTTATCTCTGTCTCTTTTCTCTTTCTCTTTTTCTCTGTCATGAGACTATGTGTGACAGGGCCACCTGTCTTTCTAATTTTTTTTCTTAACTTTTTTTTTTTAATGTGTAGGTGCATGTCTTGGGGATTTAAAAATTTCAAGGCTGGTTTACTTATGCAAAGCATGCCTACGTCTGGAATACTTAGGGAAAGAAAGCGACTCCATGTTGTCCGAATTCCTCAAGGGACAGAAAAAAAAATTGGAGACTGTTGAAATGCAGATTTGAAGTAATTTTTTTTAATATTTTTTTTTGGGTTCTGCAACATTATTGTGAAAAATTAAAGTTGTTGTGCAATACTTAATTCAGACATGTACCACAAGTGAATGGTAGACTAACACTGGGGGGTGGGGTCTAGGCATCATGCTTTTGTCAGCATACTCTTGAGCTTTTAAGTCTACTATGTCTGAACTGTGGTTTCTTGTTTATCCTTTTTTCCTTAGTTGGACTGTAATGTATGGTCTGTCAACCTGTGAATCTCTAAAGTATGATTCAGGTATTGTTGTATTCTTTACTGTGTAATAAAAAAGTTTAAAAAAAAAAAGCTGTCTTCTCTGACTCCCTTCTCAGTGAGTGTCATGGTTGCCCACCCAGTGGCCACAGCCCAGGCAGTCTTTCCCCCACGCTACTGAGGCCCATGTGTAGATTTTAAGCAGCTACAGAGCATGGCCTCTGTACCGTGAGTTGGCTTCTCCAGGAGTGGTGAATAGGGAATGAGGTCCAGACAATGCCAAATGCAAGTTCCTTTGTAGGGGACATTTCCCAGGCAGGAAGAGCTGGAAGAGTAGGAGGAGAATCATAATCTTCCAGGGGAAGCAGAGCATGGCTGCTGTGTTTTGGTGCTACGCCTGGGTTACCATTTCCAGAGAGGCTCTTTGCCACCTTCTAAGGCTCCAGCTCTAGGCAGGTCGTGCAGCACCTCGTGCACCCCTGGATGGAAACCCACGAATGTAGAACTCCTCTTCCATTTGTTTCCCCACTGGCTTTGTTTAAGTGGAAGTTGCCCACATGTTCATTCTTGTTTGTGTACATTGTTAACATGGACAGAGGCTGTCTCCGATGTGGCTGAGAGGACCATGTCATACTTGATACCCATTTGTTTTTCACCCTCTAATTTTTTTTTTTTTTGACAGGCAGAGTGGACAGTGAGAGAGACAGAGAGAAAGGTCTTCCTTTGCCGTTGGTTCACCCTCCAATGGCCGCCGCGGCCGGCGCACCACGCTGATCCAATGGCAGGAGCCAGGTGCTTCTCCTGGTCTCCCATGGGGTGCAGGGCCCAAGCACTTGGGCCATCCTCCACTGCACTCCCGGGCCATAGCAGAGAGCTGGCCTGGAAGAGGGGCAACCGGGACAGAATCCGGCGCCCCGACTGGGACTAGAACCCAGTGTGCCGGCGCCGCAAGGCGGAGGATTAGCCTATTGAGCCACGGCGCCGGCCTCACCCTCTAATTATTAAATTGGCTAGAGTTTGAGGACCCAGCAGTTTTTGCCCTGTACCATGAGCTTTGTTAATTTTCATGCATGTGTGGTTTTCAAGATACAGATTTTTTTTTAAGTAACATACATCTTGTGTTGTAGCAGAAGTTCATATTCTCCCTGGAAGTTCCCAGATTTCTGGGCAAAAAAAAAAACAGAAAGAATCAAAAATGCAAAGCATGTGCCATAGCCTATGTCTGGGGAGAGGTCATGGGTTGGCTGCAGTGAAATTGGAGGGTGGCTTGAGATCCTTTGTTCAGCCTTCTGCGTGGGTCCTTGTCCCAGGGCCTGGACTCCCTAACTTCTCTTCCTGGGAGATGTAGCTCTTCTCACATTTCTTACTGCAGGAACTTGGGAGTAAACATCAGCAAAATAAATAAATAAATGGACACCTCTTCACTGTCAAAATTTTGACAAGGTCAGACATGTAATTGTGTGTGTGTGTGTGTGTTTTTCCCCACAGAATACAATGCAGCCTGACCCAAGTTGCTATCCTGTAATGTGTTCATGTGTCTTTTTTTCTCTTCAAAGAAGAACAAGCCAGAAGCTGGCAGACTTGAAGAACAGAAATGGGACATATGGAAACAGCTCTCTTATAAGAAGCGCTTAGTATCTTTGTGACGTTTTAGCACAAATGGAAAAGCTGGAAAAATAGGAAATGCTTTCCATTTATATGAAAGATCTGAACAAAATCCGGAGACTTCTAAGTAGTGGATATCATTTTTTGTAAAATTGTTAATAATGTATTTGATAATATTATAAAAGACTGTGTCTGGCACGGAAGAACGTTGAACTGTTTCCCCACATAGGGTGGGAAGAAAGCACAAAAAAGTGCTGTCCTGTGGCGGGGTCTACATCCTTATTCTGAGGGGAATAAATGTACATTTCCGTAAACTATCCTTGGTCAGTCTATTCTCAGTCACGCTGGGGAAAGTGGATCTGATAAATGCAGGGAATGCATTTTCCCATTTTACCTCTCCAATCACATACAGAGGGTGGAACCAAGGAAATGGCTTCTTCCCTTTTGGAATTTTCAGGTTCAAGAAGCATTTGTGGGAACATTTTGGGATTCTACATGGGGAGAATGTGAGAACGCCTTAAGACCACGATGATACAGTTGACTGCCTTCTATCATCATCATAACATTCGAACTGCAAGCAAACTTGGATGTGGGTGTTCTAGTGGTGGAGCTCTGTACTCTGCTGATAAGAAAGAGACAAGTCCCGTAGGGGAAAAGGGGACAGTGCAAGAACACACTGCTGGGACTCCATGGCAGTGCCTTCATAAATCAATGGCAACTGGAGCCCTTTTCAGCACCTAATGCAGGGCCAAGCATCCAGTTAGCACTCAATAAATATTAATTGTAATTACAACTGCGAGTCTGCAGCTAGAATAACGCGGTGCCAGTTTTCCCAGAAGAGAACAAATTGGCTAGAGGAATAGAAAATACAATGGGAATTATTTAACCTCAGGCTGGAGGAATGAATTGGAAGGGAAAGATGAAACCATGTGCAGCTTGATCAGATGGTGATCAAGTGATAGTGTTACCCCTCTTTACACATGTTGGAGGATATAATGCCAAAGGGGTGACGGACTTGATTGGATCACTATGTTGGCAACGGCTGTTGGTGACAAACACACAGTTAATCACTCCATGTCTCTGTCAATTTGTTCATGTAGGACATCTCAGCCATGCGATAGAGACTGCTTTGGAATTTCAAGCTAGTAAACAGCCCATAGCGAAAATAGTAGATGGTCTGGATTTCAAAGTCTCTCTTCTGACCTCTTAGAACAGTCCCAGCTTCTAGGTAGCCACATCCACTTCATCTTCTCAATGCTCTATGCACCTGCAGTTAGGTCTCCCATCTCTTATCCCAGATCTATGCCACAAACAATCTCCCTTGTTTTATCATAGTACTTTCTTCATCAGATCATATCTTCCTTTTTACTTAAAAATCCATAAAGACCTCTCTAAATCCCCTAAATCAAGATGAGGCCAGCTCATCCTTGCTGCCTCTGAACCAAATTCTAGGCATGTACCCAGGGGCCACTGAGTCTGCAAGTCCCTGAGGTACTCAGCAGGACGGAGTTGGGGACACCTGGGATCTAGGAGACACTGTCTCATTGCACAACTACCATACACCTGGAAAAGACTGAGACAAGTGGTAGACACTGATTTAGATTCCCTTCCACTTCTCTGTAGCATGTTGATGTAACAAACCACTTGAAAGGAGCCAGTGATGATAACACAGACTTACATATAAAGGGTAAAGGGATGAGCATTTGGTGCAGCAGCAGTGAGGAATTCCACTTGGGATTCCCACATCCCATACTAGAGTGATAGGTCCAAGGCCTGGCTCCACTTCTCACAAAACTTCCTTCTAATACCCTGGGAGGCATCCGGTGATGACTCAAGTGGTTGGGTCCCCATTGCCCATTTGGGACCCCCAGATAACACCCCAGCTCCCACTTTCAGCCTGATCCAATCTTGGCTGTTGGGGAATGATCCAGCAGATAGAAGCTCTCCTTCTCACTTTCCCCTTCACTCTACCTCTTCCCCCTCACTCTCTCTCCCTCTTTCCCTCTACCCCCCACTTCCCTCCATCTCTCACTCTCCCCTTCATCTCTCCATCTCCTATGTCTCTATATCTCTTGAATAAATGAAACAAATAAAAATGTATTTTTTTAAAAAAGATCTCTGGGCGCCACTGCTGAGCTACAGCATCACAATACCTAGGGAGATGTTTGTGAACAAGACCAATCCTTATCCTTCTAGGGCTTATATTCTGGTAAGTAAGAAACAGAAACCTGTAACTGGATAATGAGGGGTCATTATTGATACTTGCTAACAAGAAACATTAAGCAGGATAGGGGAATAGGTAGTGACGGTCTTGCAGATGACACTACATTA